GTGGTGCCCCCCGAGCAGGTGCACCCGAACCTGTTCAAGGGCGCCAACCGGCGGTTCAAGGCGGTGCCGTGGAACAAGATGGCTGGCAAGCAGCTGGAGCGGCCGCTGTCGGAGACGCAGTGGCAGGTCAAGATTACCAAGGAGGAAGCGAGGCGCGTGGCGAGGGCGGAGAAGCTCAAGGCGATTGGGTACGAGTTTGAGGCGCCTGCGCTGAAGGCTGCGGAGGCGAAGGAGCAGCTTGTCGTGGAGGCTGCTGCTGTTGAGGAGACTACCAAGGTTATTGAGGGGGTTCCGGCGGAGAAAGAGGATGAGGTGGTGAAGGAGGTTGAGACTACTGTGGTTGAGACCAAGGTTGTTGAAGTTGTTGAGGTGCCTACTCCTGCTTCGGCGGAAAAGAAGGCCAAGAAGGCGGTGAAAGGTGGAAAGAAGGGAAAGAAGGTCAAGTCATAGAGTATTGTTGTTGTTGATGGTTTGGGGTTGTTAGATTATAATGCTAGATCTACGTTGCGCAAAGGTGGATGGATGTCAGGCGCGTATTTTCCTATCGTCAACTCGTTCAGAGATACTGAATGATATGTATATGCCAACAAACTCCATGCCATCATCGAAAAGCTCGTCTTCACGAATGCAACAAGGACTAACAGAGGATTATAAACGGTTCAGACATAGGTCGTGATCCCCCGCTGGCGAGAATATCAGAGGCAGGTGACCATCCCAGCAAGACAGGACACTCTGGTAAATATTGCACATACAGACGCCGAATGTTCCTCGAGAACAGCAATCTGGAATCCCCGAGAAGCTTCATATACTGGGAAGAAAGAAATCTATGATATGAGTTGTATGATAATGTACGCACCAAGCGAACCTGAAAGCACCCATTAGGAGAAAGAAAGGACTATCAGGATTATAAGATGCGCTTTTTTTGGTCTGCTTCTGCGCTGGCTTCCTTTTGAAAAACACTTGTGTGTCTCTTTTACAAAACAACACTGTGGTGGGATATTTCAGAATTATGGCCAGGCTGAAGGGTAAAATATGTTACCAAAAAAAAGGAGAAAAAAAGAAGAACAAAAATTTGGATTGGAGGTTTGGGGTTTAAATGGAGTTGGGCTGGAGGGGTGTGATTATGTAAGCAAGTATTGAACGGTACCTGGTACGGTACCTGGTACGGTACGGTAATCTTCCACAACCATAACAGTGTTCGTCCACCTCTGCCATTGATTCATCTTGATGGACAAATTTAAGCTGCTGATTTGTCCCATTGCACTTTGCGAATATGTAGGTTTGCAGACTGCCGGGTGTACGGGAGATCTTGCATGGGGTGCAGACGTTACAACTTCCTCGGGTAAGATGCAGAGATGATTGCATGTTACGAAAGCACCTCTACGGACTGCTGAAAGTACTTTAGGTAGAAGCTCGTATCCGAGCGAGAAGGCGACCTAGACCTAGAGTCTAGAACATCTTTTGTCTTGGATATATCACGAGGCGACTTGCTTGGAACCCCAAGATGTCGTCAGTCCTTCTGTCCAACGTCCGGTGCAACACCAGGTCAGATCGCTGGGTAATTTGTCAGTTTCATTGTGAATCACATAGACGAAAGCTCGCCTCAAGAGGTTCGCGCTTCAATGTTGTCCGAGCTCCATGTCTTACCAGGTAGGTGAACCCAAGGTACTCGTGCCTAAGCTGTAAAGAAGAGGTGTGGTGTAAATGTATGGAACTGCCCGGGATGTTGGCTGGCGGTTTTAGGCGCTACGTTGGCCACTATATTCCATGAGCCATAGCACGGCGACCCTCGCTAACAACCATTCCCGCCGCTCCGCCAAAAAGGGCCCCTAAAGGCTTACGTGTTGGAAGACAGGAGCTGCCCTGCAAATCGGCCGCCGCCCGTGTTTCAATGCCGCGCTCCCGTCTCCGAGCCGCCGGCTTCGATAACTTTTACCTCTCCGTCTTGTGTTCGGACGACCCGATGGGAATAGAGGAACCCTAGGTCTCCCGACTACTTGATCAATTGACCATGTCGTCGACAGCAGCGCCGACGGATTCCGTCCAATCAGCACCCCACGGTACGTTTCACGCTTTTTGTTTGACTGTGCTGTCTACTGGCCGGCCGGGGGACCACAAACCCTCCACGACCCTATTCCCACGCAGTGCGCTAATGACAACGGTGTCCCGATCACAACAGCTCCCGGTGCTTCCTCCAAGAAGAAGGCCAACAAGAAAAAAAAGAGCAACAACGCTGCCAAAGCGAAGCCGAGCCCTGACCCGGTGAAGGAGGATGGCGCAGCGAGCGCAGAGGCCGACGACGTGTCAGCAGACGAGCAGCAGCAGCCAGAGCTCCCAGGCTTGGTACATGACCCTTGCATTTTCTCCCCAACATGTTAAGCAGGACGGAGCACTGACATGATATTTAACGGGTTGCGCAGAATGCGCCACGACAGGAGGAACAACAGCCAGACGAGCCGCCACCGCCCCCCGAAAGCCCAAGACTACAAGACGAATCAATACCGGACCAGCGACAGCCAGACTTGGAAAACACCAACGGTCATGCCGGCGCAAACGGTCACGCTACTACACCAACAACACAAACTTCGATGGCCGCCGCATCATCCTCAGAAGAGACCACGACGAGTGCCAAGCTCGAAGCCATGTCGCAGGACCGAGAGGCCCTACGGGCCGAGGTCGAGAAGCTGAGGAAACAGCTCGAGAGCATACAAGAGACGCACTCCCACGAGGTATCGCAGCTCAAGACGGATCTGGAGGAGAGCGAAGCCGCCAAGGAGCACGCTGAGTCGCAGTACCAGACTCTGCTCGGCCGGGTGGAGAAGATCAAGGAAACGCTGGGCGACAGGCTGAAGCGGGACAAGGCGGAGCTTGAGGAAGCCAAGGACCGCATCGAGGAGCTCGAGGCACAGAACGAGGAGCTGCAGCGCGCGTCGCGGGATGGCGGCGACGAGGCCGCCCGACTGCGGGAGGAGGTCGAGCAGCAAGGCCGCGAGCTGGCCAGCCTGCGCAGCAGGAGCAGCCTGTCACAACAAAATTGGGCGAGGGAGAAGGACGACATGGCGCGGCAGATGCAGCATTTGCGTGTGGAGCTCGAGTCGACGAGAAACGCCATGGGCGAGTGGGAGGTCATCGCGATGGAGGAGCGCTCCATGCGCGAGGGTCTGTCGAAAGAATTGAGCGATCTCGAGGAGCAGCTGCAACAGGTCAGGGAGGCGTACGAGCGTGTTGCGTCTGAGCGGGACACGCAGTCGCATGCCATTGACGGGCTGCAGCGCGCGCTGCAGGAGATACAGGAGGCGCGCAAGCGGGAGCTGAGGGAGATGGTTGAGTCGACGGAGGAACAGGTTGCCGCGATGAAGAAGCGGGTGCAGGAGGCTGATGCCAAGGCGAAAGAGGCCGAGTCCGCGAGGGAGAGCTTAAGTAAAGAGCTGGAGAGGACGGCGCCGTTTGAGAAGGAAGTCAAGGAGAAGAATCTGCTGATTGGCAAGTTAAGACATGAGGCGATCGTGCTGAATGATCACTTGACCAAGGCGTTGAAGTATATCAAGAAGACGAAGCCGGAGGAGACGATAGATAGGTACGCTACGCCACCCCTTTCTTCCCTCTAACTACCTACATTGTCACCCCTATCACGAACACGACCACAAAAGCTAATATCTGGTTGGTCAAAAAGACAAATCGTCACAAACCACTTCCTGCAGTTCCTAGCGCTAGACCGCTCCGACCCGAGGAAATTCCAGATTCTTCAGGTCATCGCCGGTCTTCTCAACTGGACCGACGAGCAGCGCGAACAGGCTGGCCTGGCGCGTCCAGGCGGGGCGGGCAACCATCACCAGTCAACGCTCCGCCTGCCGACTTCGCCGTTCCATCGTACGCCCAGCTCGCCGGCGCTCAACACCGAGTTCTTTAGCGAGCCGACCTCGGCGAGCGCCGTTGGCGGGAGGGAATCGTTGGCGGAACTGTGGACCGATTTCCTCGCCAAGGCCGTTGAGGACCCTGCTGGTGCACCACACTTGCCTGGGGGCGGTTTGGCGGGGAAGGGAAGGCAGGATAGTATGTCCAGCGTGACGACTTCGGGGACTAGTAATACCAAAGGTGTTGGTGGGTGAACAAGGTAGCTACCTACCTACTTGACTTTGCGTTATGTGTGGATGTGTATTGGATGGACAAATGGATCATGGGAAAGACAAATACTTTGCAACTGTTATTGTTACAGTAATGTACAGGTGAAATAGAGAGAAGACAGGCAGATAGACAGACAGGAAAGACGCTGGCTGCTGGCAGTATCCATTTTTGCGCTGGCTTGTTTCTGGCAGGTTCTTGAACTTGAAAATCGAAGCGGGTGAGCTAGCTACTACAGAGAAGGAACCGGAAAGGGAAAACATTTACAAGCAAAGCGGGCGGGTGTATTGCTTCGACAAAATAAACATATTTCTGATGCGGTGTGACAAGCCAGTGCAATGACCCAAACCATTACACCAAAACACCCCTCAATCGCAAAAGGATGCCAGAATACCAAAGGTGTCAGTCAGTCAGCCTTTGGAATTATAATGGGTTATGTACCGTTGACGGTCGCAATCAATTCAATCAACGCTCAATCGCACCGACCGTCACATGCGGTTGCGGTCGATCGTGATTAACTTCTTGGCACTTTTTGTTCTTTATTACGATGACCAGCTTATGATTAGGGGCCAGGATAGGTATATACACCACCACCCGTCCATCCCTTGGGCAAGGAAGCGACTTAATAGGGATTACTTACTGAAAGCTCATATCTCCTGCAGAGATATATCTCGAAGAGTAAAACACGGCTGCAGATATGTTATCTTTTATTATCATAGCGTAGTGGTATGTATACCTACACACCCGTCCTCAGAAGTGGATGAAGAAGCAACTTGATCACTTCAAGTGATTAAAATGACGCTAAAAAAGATTGATCCCATACATGAAAGTTCTTTGAAGAACTTAAGATGGAGACCTGAAGAGAGGATATGATAGCATGATCGAACCCGGGCTCGAACCGGAGACCTTTAGCGTGTGAGGCCAACGTGATAACCAACTACACCATTCGACCTATGTTTTTCATCTCCTGATTGGATGGTGATGACTCGTAGTGGAAGCCTTTTCTATGCCGCGCATTTCTGCAGTGGAGTGGATGACTGCATAACCCCCCTCCCGTCCTATCCAGACACGAGAGGCTCGATTATCACATGCGCGTGCAGGAACCACACGTAAATGTTAAGCATATATTTAGTAAAGACCACGCAATGATATCAGGAGGGTAAATTTTCAACTGATTCAAGCTCAGTGCCTGCCTGTCTACCAGCCAGCAACTACATTACCTCGGATATAACTGGGAGACATTCTATCTCTCGTCAATTACCTCCACCAGAGGCTTCTGTCCATCAGCTTCCCTTACACGATGTTAAGTACTTAAATATATCCTCGAAAATATTTACCAGCAGCCATGGTATACGATCAAAGAACAAAGGGAGAAAAACACCTCTTTCTCATCCCCTACTATATAAATACCTATTTATTCCCAACCAAATCTTCCTATATATACCTTATCTTTTCCGCCAGATATCCAGTCCAACCCCGTCCCAAAATCAGTGAAATTCAGCATCCACCCTCCCATACCTCACTCCATCAACCTTCAACTCAAATCCAAGCCCGGCACTATCGACAATCATCTCGAGCGTAAAATCCAGGTTATCAAACTCCACCCCCCGCGTGGTCGTCAGCCTTGTAAACAGACTCCTCGGCACGGCGTTCAGGTCCGTCGTGAGCGTGCACACGTGCACCAGATCGCGAGTATAAGCGTTGGGGGGCTCGTCCGCGTCGCAAGCAATCAAGTCGTCCGTGACCATGAGCGACTGCCCCGGCCGAAAATTGCGCGTGTAATGGAACGCGATCGGGCTGAGTGGTGATATCGCTTCGCCCTATTTTACCCCGTTCGTTAGACACTGTATTCTAAGATCGTAAAGGTGAAGGAAACTCACCTTGGCAATATGCCACTGCATCCGATCCGACACCATCCACCGCTCCCACAGCGGCGACCAATACCTTTCACTAACCGAGTGCTTCTCCGGATCGTAAACAGTCGCGTACGAGGTACCATAGTGCATCCTCGCCTTGCGCGAGATGACCATATTACCTTCAAGCCCTCGTAATACTGCCCCGCGCACGACGGCCGTCCACGCATACACCGGCTGCATAACCTCGATGGAGCTGGCCTCCTCCAGCGCATTCGCAGTCGAGTGCGTAGGACGCTCGCTGTATGGCGGCGGCGCGGCGCTGCCGAAGTGGCCTTTCAGCCGGCGGTACAGGTAGTCGCTTTGCCCAAACCCGCCGACGAGGATGATGCCAGACACCACACCGCCTTTGGCTCGCAGGGTATCTACTTGCCCTTGAACAAGATCGCATACCTCTTTAACGACGGGCTCAAATATGTCTTTGATTTGTGCTGCCGTCATTACGAGGAAACCCGAATCGAGGCCGACTTCTTCGTCGTCCGGGAGACCGGGGAAGCTGTGCGCATTAATGTCAGCAATTCAGTCTGACTAATAGCCTCAGTCGTCATGACATACGGAATATTTATTTCTTGATGCTCGTCCTCGTTAAAGTTGCGTTTAACAAACTCTTCAAAATACCGCAGGCCCATCTGCCACGTTTTGCCCTTCTTTACCTTCATCTCGTCGAACCGGCTGGCTCCGATGCGGGTGCGCACGTGTTCCTCGAACCTATAATTCAGGAACGCGCTGCCACATAGCCCGCCCGTGCCGACAGCAGACTCCTCCACGCGGATCGGTTTCAGTGATACAATTTTGTACGCAATCAGACTATCACCGTGTCAGCATAATCCACATTCTGTAGTCAGAGAGAACCTACTCAACAGTCCCCCCACCACCATCACAAACGATAAAGTTATCCCCCACCTTGAGGTGATTCGGCTGGATCGCTTTGAGCGTATAAACCGCCGCAGCCTCGGGCTCGCTGATCATCTGGATCTGCGTCTTGGCGCCCATGCCCGCCCGTTCCGCCGCCTGGAGTGTCGTGTTCTTGGCCGCGTCGGACCAGACCGCCGGACACGTCAAGACGAAATCGACCTTGGTCGAAGCCATGAACGACTCGCCGTACCGGCGCGTCAGGGTATCCATGGTGTGCCGGTGGATTTGTGTCAGGTAGTCGCTGACGGCGTCGACGACCGTCTTGTTGAAGCGCTTTAGTTGCGCGGCCGTCTCGAGCGGGCTGACGTAGAAGGGTAGCTTCTGCGAGCGATCCAGAAACAGCTTGATGCAGCGCAGCCGCGACTCTTCCGGTTTGAACTGGAAGCCCCATTTTACCGTTGGTGCAGCGGACGGTGAGGCGCCGTCACGACTGCCAATTGTGCCGCCGGTAGGAAGCTCGTACGAGATCTCGGTCGGTACCTTGTCCGACGTGATGCCGTTCCCGCCCGGCCAGGTTTTGATAATCTCGATGTCATCTGGAGTTGACGTGTATACGGCGGCAACTCTTGACTCAAAAGATTAGAGACATATGAGATGATACGAGATGAAATGAAAATCAAAGCTCACCCGGAAAAGGTCGTCCCGAAATCGACGCCGACGATGAGGCGGTCGGCGATGGGGGCCGCCTCCCGAGGCGGTTCCCTCACCGGGCCATTGATGGCCTCGGTGGAGGACGGCGGGGTGTAGCTGTTTGTAAAGTAGTTTCTGCTGTCACGGTTCCTCTGGCTGGGCGACGACAATGTCGGCGACTGGTGTAAGGGGAGTTGGATGTTCATGGTTGTATTAGTCGGTCACTCGGTGTGAGTAGTGGCAAGCGATGATGGAGTGGTGCTCCGGCGGCGGCCCCTTTCGACGTCGCGGTCGGGTCACCTATGCCATGAAGCAGGGAGCACCGTGGCGGACTCAGAACAGGAAAGTCAGAAATCCGTTCGGACGAAAGTGGATGTAGTGACAGGTGCAATGTGGAATTTGGGATGAAGCTGTGGATGCGCCGAGTTGCGTGCTGCTGTTGGTCCCACGATGGGATGGAACGCGAGGGGAATTCAATAATGTTCGTCTCGTCTACGGATTACAGGCTACTCGCTGCGCTTAAACCTGGGTGTTGTACCGACTGCACGACAAGAATTACAGCCTCAAATTAACAATAGTTGAAAAAGGAATCAAGAGAAAAAATGCCACGTCCAGATTTGTAGATTGAAGGTTGCTGCTCAGCCTTCAAGCGATATTGCCCACATGTTCCAAGGTTAGGTAGGTTGGTCCTGTACAGTACCTGACCCCGAGGCAGATCCGTGAGGCAGAACTGCTTGACAGCGACAGGAGGTGGGGGAGGCACAAGCCGGCAGCTGCTGCCCTGATGGTTGGCGGGGCTGAGGGGTCCTTGGTTGGGGTCATCGTATCCAGACTGCCAGAGCGTGTGTCTCTTTCCCGAATTGGATATGTTGGACACGCGTCCCCTCCTGTCACCGACGACAACTCCAGCGCGTTCAAAGTTTGTGTACCACCTTACCACCTACCTTATAAATGACGTACAGTACCTTACCTATCTCAAAACGTGCCAGGTTCCCTTTTCTGTTTATCTTTTTTCGAGTGCCAAATCCAAGGCTCGAATGGCGGCTGCCTGGCCGCCTACATATCAGTCCCCCCTCTCCCGTCGACCAGTACAAGTTGATTGATATCTTCCAAGACAGACCACGCACGTCAAGATCTTCCTTGGCTTGCATGCCACAGACCGACCGTCAGTGGAGGTTTCACACTTTTTCCCACATGGCATGGCAGTGGGCCGTTGCATGACATATGGGACGCGGTTACGCAAGCTAACTTCCAGGCACCCGAGTTTATTACCTTATCTCCAGTAGAGAGAGCCAGCCAGCCCTAACGGTGGACTCTCTGTTTTAGGAAAGATAGAGTAGGTACCCGCTTGTTTGTTCTTAAAATGATGACGGCAGCCATCTATCGTGATACTTATACCACCAGCCGCTACAGGGGATGATAGGCATCTGTCCATGTCATCTTGCTTAGGCCTATCTTGTATTGCGTAACATGTCTCAGAAAAACTACTGCGCAGCTGTTCATACCCGTGATTTCGTGACTTACGGTAGGGTTTGCCTGTCTGTCTCATCTCGATGAGGTCTGCACGATACCTACCTCCCCAAACCTAAGATGTACCCATTCAGTCAAACATCCACACCATCAAGATGGATATTACTACACAGTAAGCAGCAATCCATCAGAAGTGGTTATTTGTACCCAACAGAAGGGTACCACACGTGCGTGCTACACCCACCACGCAGCGGCACGGCACGGCGCGTGTATCCCCAGATCCAAGAAGACACCAACATTCCTCGCGTCTTCTAAGTCAACCACACCAACCACAATATATGACCAAAACCATCAGAGTGTAAAGGTTAAAAGTAGCATTCGAATAGCTATATATATAGATAGATAGATAGATAGATCGAGAGAGAGGATAGATACTCAATAGATTACCGAAATGATATCAACTCCTCAGAAATTAGAAATAACTCAACCAAATCCTTCCTTCCCTCTTCCAGGAGATGGGAGACGAGGAACTTATATGTGAACAAAGGAAACAAGCCCGGGCCTTTCTCCTGATCCTTTTGTATATGTGCTTCAAAACCTCTCTGACGAGCCGATTGTCAAGGGAAAGAAAACAAAGCGAAATCACCAGCTTCGAAAACCCTCTTCAGACGGAGAAGAAAAATCCATCTTGCAATCTCTATATGGTGTGTGAGTGGGTATTCTTTCAGATATTGAACAGAACAGAAAAGAATAAATAAAAAGTATTATAGCTAGCAAGGCGGTGGATAACAAAAGGGGGTATTGAAGAAAAAAAGAAAAAAGTTTGTGACGACGATATCCTCCCTCTTTATAGAATAAACGAATATGATGAAAAAAAGAGAAAGTCCATCTGCGTGAGATGTGTATGTGCGTGTGTGTTTGTGTGTTGCGAGGCGCCGGTATGTATGTGTCGAGAGATTGAGATGTGCTTGTATGTGTGTGAGCCAGCCCAGCCTTGCATTGTTGTCGAAATTGTACCTCGCTC